AATCAGTACCCGAAGCTTCGCACAGCCCTAATAAAGAGAGTCTTGTTTTATCTGATATATTGTGATCAACAGCATGGTCTTTAACATGGTGATTTCTGTACTGCTTTTGTGTTGCTTTGCCATCCACAGCTCATGCTGCTGCTTGCATTCATGAAGAGGGTTCAACTAGATGACCTTTGAGGTCTCTTCCAGCCCTGTGATACTCCCTAAAACCTAGCTTTAAAAAGCAAATTACCTGGTGTCATCCATTGTGATTATAAATCAGAATTAATATTAGTTGTATTCAATATATTAGACAGGAAATATTTTGTTATTTCCAAACCTAACATACTTCATCTATTTATGTATATAAAACATGCACCTTTTCCATGGCAAATGCTTGTATACCGGTATTAAGGATTGTTTGTATTAATGTGCTACAAATTTGCGGCCAAATATTTTAGAAATTGCTAAAACTTATGAAGGAAAACAGGCTCTTATAAGAAGGCTAACATTAAACACAAAAACGGAGACATGGGAAATTATAAAACACTCTTAGGAATCTTGGTCTTACCATTTAATGTAGGAAGAAACCCCCCCAAATTAAATGGAGAAAGAAACTGAAAAAACAGAAAATATGTAATAATATGTAATAGACAAAAGATTGTGGGACCCACTGATATAAGAGGATTCTGATTTTAAAAGGTCGAACCTCTTAAGCATATTTGGTATTCACAATTCTACTACTACTGTGGCTAAGTCACTTGGATACACATTTTACATTGACTTTTATCACTGGAAAATACAGTGTGATGTATAAGCAACAATAAAACATTGACCAAAATCCCATGAAATAAGGACTCATTTCAACACTTGAACTTTTTATGATACTATAAAAGATCCAAGCAAATTACAGTACACTTCTGAAAAGAACTATTATTTATCTAAAGAGCTGCATTCTGCCTTCAAGCTGTGCTGTTTTACAAATGAATTCTACTTTTAAACAAGCCTTCTGTGGCACTCCTTTTACAATCCTTGTAATACAGCCAATCTCCTTAGCTAACCACTTTATTTTCCATAAGAGATGCAACCTCTTGCAAGTAATGCCAGTATTTTATATTTTTTCATGCACTTCTTGGCTGAAAGGTAGTAAGTAAGGGGTTAAGATGGAAACACAACTCTGCTGCCTTCCCAGTTCAAGAACTGATTTGATCATTCTTCAGGGATTCCCTCTCTTATGAGTCATTGTTAAGATAGACAGACTCCCCCACGCAAGGAGGCCCGGATAATGCCATTCCTCAAGAGATTACAACAGCTGAGGGCCAGCCTTAAAAGAGAGCTCAGGACTTGTGCTTGGAAAAACATTCAGTTGACTACACTGTACTCAGCAGACTCAGACATTTTTCAGACATTCTCCCTTCCCCATTTTGCAATAACCGATTAACTATGCACCAACTATCAAGCTCTTAACTATATTAGATCTATATTCAAGCATGGGGGTTTTGCACAAGTAAGGAATACAGATACTGTTTAAATTAATAATGGATACAGTCTTTTTATTATTACAATTTTTCACCTGGCCTATGTCATTTGTAACAGCTGGAATCCTGTAGGGAGCTGCTACCCACTTAGAAACATGATTAACATACATTTTAAAAGCAAAAGTAACACCAGCAAAAGTGACTAATTTCTCTAGTAATCATTACAAATGTTAATAAGCTAGTTTTCTGGGGAATAGAGAGAAGGTGACTGCACATGTGCTCCATTTATGGCCCTGGTTCAGTTTATAAGTCGAGGCTCAATGACAAAGCACAGCTCACTGGTGGTAATGGTAGAACGGATAGTAATTGGAATTACCCTTTGGTTTTTAATTGGAAATGAAATATAGCAGAAGAACAATTAGGAAGCTTATCATGGAGACCATGATGTATTAAACATTGTTTTAAATGTGCTGCGCTATATTAGGTGATGCTGTAAGTGAGGAACTAAGCCTAGGAAATCAAAACTAAAGGGAGAATAAATTAAGCAAGCAAACAATTTAATTTCCCTTCCCACACACCTCCACTATTTGGTCTAAGGGATTAATCATTTTAGTGTGGAAAGCACATGCTCCTCTTGCTGCCTCTTGGGGTACCTCCAATCTCAGGCAGATTGTCTCACTTGAAAAGGCCTGTGATAAGGCTACTTTACAGAGATTCTAGCTAATTTGAGCTCAGTCTTGCAGAGGTACAACCCCAGAGATGCTGAGCACCTTTGACTCCTATTAACTTTAAGAGCTGTTCAGCTTCTGCAGGAACTATTCAGCACCTTGAAAGATTGAGCCACCTGAGAGTACATAAATGAGAAAGTTTTGTCATTCAATCATGACAAACCTACCAACATACTATTTAAGTTGGACAGTGGATTTCAACCTCAGAATGGACCCTTTTACTATAAACTTGTGAAATATTTTCCATGGATAACAGGATAGCTACTGATTGATAAGATGTTTTCTGGGGCAGGAAGGGATTGTTTCAACGTAACCCATATGTAGAGTGACTTTCCTTACCTGTGCTACCCACTTCTCACCATCCCATGCACCCAGAGAGTCCCACCTGTGGGGCCCGTGCTGTGAAAGGGGTTATTCTCCCAGCAGCAAATACATTGCTTGAGTCATTATTTACATTTGTACTGGGATGTATTGAACATTATTTGATTCCTTGTTACAAAATTTTTAAAAATCTTCAAAAATAAATGTAATTTGGTTCTGAACCTAAGTTTGTTGTGTCCCAGGCCTCCTTGCCTTCAAGAGGATTTGCAGCTGAGTAAGAAGTTCAAGATCAGGCCCTTTTTTGACGAGAAGGCTGCATATTGTGCATCCTGCTTTCAGTGCATGCTGCTGAAGACTTTTATAAGCCCAGGCTATGCTACCTGAAGATGAGAGGGTAGCTTCATTTTCCAAAATACCCTTTGGGAATGACCTTTTAAAACTTTCCAGTGCAGTGAGAAAACAAGTAGAGAAAACAAGCATCAAAGAGGACAACTATTAAGGCAGTTTCCTTCCTGTAACGAGTCAAAGCCAGGATTTCACTCTTGAAATGTGATTGTAAATCATTCACATACACAGAAAAATATATGTAAATTAGACCTTCTCTTCTCCCCCCCACACTGAACAACTCAAGGCTTCAAAATGTATATGGATTGCGGTCTGGCCAGGTGAGAGTCGAATGAGCTCTGCCAAAGAGCATAGCTCTGGGAAATCACTGGAGCCATGCTGAATTACGCTAGCTGTGGCCTGTGACCCATGAACTTCAAATGAGATACTCTTGCACCCATTTTCTTGATAACTTAAAGTAAGTCAAGCCAGTTGTAAAATGTCAGAGAGGCTCACTGTTGCATTTCTTTGATTCAGTTAAGCTCTGCAGAGGCCAGAGGGAAGTAAATTCATATCTACTCTGATTGGTTAATGGAGGGAGACTCCCTTACTCAGCACGAACACACATCCTCCTCTGACATACTGTACAGTTAGCAATAGTCACACGGAGGGCAATGGCAATCTCCCTGGAACTTTATGAATGTCGAGGGTTAAACAGACGTCACGTGCAAGCCTGCACTGGAGTGGCTGTGAGATGCTGAGTGCTTGAGGAGTTCAGAAGACAGTTTAAAGTTCAGGGGCTTTTGACAGGCAGCTGTGGAATCTTTGGTTTGTGCCAGCGCCACAGAAACCCTTTCCAAAACAAGCCTGAAGACTATGCTTAACTCTCTCCTTTCAGAGTCTGACTTTTGCTCTGAGCTCTATTCTAACCCCCTTCTCCTCAGGAATGCAAGACTGTAGTTTGCATTATCATTATGTGAGCTACAATACCTATGCCAGGCAAGGTTCTTTGGGTAAATCTGATATCTTTTATTAGACCAGCTCAAAGAGTTGGAAAAATTCTTCTTGGCAAGCTTTCGGGTGTAAATACCCTTCATGGGGCTGAGAAAGCATCCCAGGTACCTCTCCACTATTTACCAACTACTTTCGTTCTCCTTCCCCCTCCCCAGCCTGTCTGTCACCCACTGACTCCCCAATTTACATCTTCACTGACTGGCTTTCTTGCACGCATACCAGCCTCTGGCTTCTTTACTATTCATTCCATCCAGGAAGAGCACACACCAACTGCTGAAACTTCCTAAGCCTTATGAAGGGTATTTATACCCAAAACCTTGCTAAGAATAATTTTCCCAACTATGTGAGTTGGTCTAATAAAAGATATCATATCTACCCAAAGAACCTTGTCTGCCTATGTCGTTAGACCAACACGGCTACAACCTGCACCCACAATACCTATGAATGTTTTATGCCAGAGTGTGAGAGAAGGTATGAGAGGTGCCGTAAAGTCCCACTGATTTTTAATGTGTATTGGGGGCACCTGGCATCTCAGAAGATCACTTCCAGAAAAGATCACCTTGACGGGTAAAAGGTGGGGAAAAGACAAATCTTTGTTGTTAAAGGTCAAATGAAATCGTTCCTTTGAAATGAATGAGTCTGCATCAGGCAAGTTTTTGACATTGCTAATCCTCTTAAATGAACAGCTAATAAATTATCAAAGCCCTTCAAGGCTTACATTCTCTATAAACTTAGCTTTGACGTTTAAAGGCCTCTATTGTTATTAAAAAAATCACCACAAAAAGAAAAACAGCACACACACAACACCATGTTGTCAATAATGCGTTTCTCACCCCCACTATAAAAAGGTTCAACAGGAAAAAGCTTCTTGCAAATTTTCACACTAAAATGTCATGTAAAGCTTAGAATGCCTTTGGCTAAAACAATAAAATATCCTGCCAGGCAAAAGTGTGGTTTGCTACAAAAATAAACTCCAAACTCTCACTTTCAATGCCACAATTGTCTACTTGATACTAAAACTGCTGGTAGGCAAAACCAAAGCATTAGGTAGAGCTGAGATCACCTGAGCAGATCCACCCAGTAACGTGAAAAACTTTACGTGCAGAAAGAAAAGTGATAACACATCACATAATCACAACTTAGTAAAGAAAAATCACTTAGATTTAAAAATCAGGCTTAATCTAATTTCAAAGACAATACCTGGTGCTTTCTCCACAAAGATGACTTTGGAGTCTTGCAGAAAGTTATGGCCAGAAAGTATCATTTTTTTCCCTCCAATCACAGGAAAGCTGTCAGTACTTTGCTTTTCCACCAGAGGCAGTTCTTGGGCAGATCTTTGGGCTAGCAAGTTATAGAGAGAGCGGGGGGAAAGAACCACAAACACATACACAAAAATAAATAACATTTCTTAGTAAGTGACCCAACATTTAGTCTCATTAGACAAACTGAATTTATTATAGAAATCAGAGAAAGGTCAGGAGATCTTCAGGAACTCAGTACCCAGTTGGTTTTAAGTGCCTTAATTATACATCTTGCTATTATATATAATACTTTGAATTCAAAAGTATCATAACCTGCTGTTTCAATAGCTAGTTTGTTCTGTAGTACTTAAAAATGTGTGTTTAGTTTAAAAAGGAATTTCCCCATCCAAAACATAAAGCAATATTTAATTGTGTAACTGCCAAAAGTGTATATATGACAATTTGTACATGTACAAGTCTCGAATATAAGGACTGAAATTCTGTAGAATGTCTCGCTGTAGTCATGGGCTCAGTAACCCAGTAACAGTCACAGCCCAGAGACCTGCGTTTTCATGTTTAATGTTTTCATTAAGTTCTGAGTGTCAAGATGCATGTGGACCATGCACACGGTATCTTACATCCTTCTGGCATGCATTTTATCATTCTTGACAGAGGTATTCATCTAGCATGTCTGTACTTCAAGGGATAATGTGATATTTTATCTGGCTTACATGGGTCCTTCTGGTGTCACATGTACAAAGAGATGTATGGAGTTTTGGCACCTACACTTAGTCCAGATTCTGTACTTGAAATAACATTTAAACTTTCCTCAGCTGCTGGTCAAAATTAAAGATTTTTTTTTTGGAGGGTGATGGGAGCAGATAATACAGTACACTTTTGCTCAGTCCACAGTCCCTCCAAGTGCATCCTCTGACTCACATGATACATGGATCTACCCAGCTTCATTTTTATTGGTATATTAATCTGGCATGCTTTCACATAGGAGTGGTTCAGGGTATGCACTTCCTAAACTTGCATTACCACAAGATCTTACTACCATTGATGCCAACTGCAGAATTCTCAATGACTAATTGGAGCAGAAGCAGGTTGTAACTGCTCGTGTTATACAATGTGCACTTTATTCTAGAATTTGTCCCTTCACAAATTTAATCTTAAACAATCCCAAAATGGGGACAGAGTTTAAAAATGTTTGGGCTGTTGACAGATTGCATGGACTATGCCAATTTGTGCCAAGCTAGCTCTTAGTCGTAAAACAACTGCTACTCTTCATAGACAGGACAGCCTATCCTTTGCCTAGGAAAAAAGTCACACTTTCTTAAATGAAATCAGGTGGGGGAGGAAAGAGTCTATACTGTAGGAAAAAGGGGATCTGACCTTAGGGTCTGATAGAGCACACTCGTTCCTTGTAGTGGAGATGCCCTTTACTGAGGCTTTTCTTGTACGGGCATCCAGGGTGCAGACAGAAGTGCAGCTCTCAGCTGTAACTCAGAACAAGTTTTTACAAAGCGTTCTGAGTTACAGCATTGCCTCAGACCAAACACAAGTTCACTAGGTAGAGGAGAATCTAGTTGGGACTGGGAGCCTGTAGCTAGGTTTCCATAGCAATGGCCAGGCTCTCTGCCAGTGCTCACTGTTTTCAGAATGGGAGGGGGGAAGGCAGCAGAGGGAGCTCATTCTCGGGGCTCCCTGGCTGGTGCTGAAGGGTGAGGTTGGTGAATTGGAGCGCTTCCCACCTTGGGGGGAGTGGGGAGCTGCAGTACACCTGCCCCACCCTCTAGGAAGGGCTGAAACCCCCCCAGACTGAACTCCCTCTGCTCCCTTTTCCCCCTCCCATTCTGAAAAGAGTGACAGGCTGGGAGCTCAGTAGACACATATTACAAAAGGCACTACATTTTGTGACATCTTTATCTGATACCTCATGCAATGAGGAGCCAGATTTTCACCCAATTGACCATTTTTTAAACTGTTTGCAGCTGTGCACTTGTGTTTGGTCACAGCTATCAACTGCTTTCTGTGGCCAGGAGAAAATCGTCACTTCTGTCTGCACCTCCAAAGGGTAGTGTGCTCTTAAAAGCTCCAGCATCTTTCCTGGAGGTGGCACAGAGTAGTGGCAGGTTCTGACACCACCAAGAGTTGATGCTGTGGCAGACAGATGGTGTAAATCACAGAGCCTTGTCATAAAGGAGGCTGTGGGTGAGACCCTGAGATGATTTGAAAAGGAGGGTGAGACCCAAAGATGACCTGATTTTGAATTGTTTTGCTACTTCCACAGAGACAACAGGATGTAGACAACAAAGGGCCATGGGAACAGATCTTATGCAAGTTTAGTTTGTTAGAATAAGTGTCTAAATTTTTGGCTGAGAGGCTGAATCCAACGCAACCTCCAAAAGCTTTGCAAGTTCCACCCAGAAGTAGAAACAATGGGAGTTAGAATGAAACTTGACTTTCAGCAGCTAGATGAGAACTGCAAAGCCAAACAAAGCAAAAGGCTGTTCCCGTGTTTAAAAGATTCGGAGAACAAGAATGAAATGGGAGTTTCAATGGATGGAAAATGCATCCATTAGTAAATCTGAGAGGCTTATAAAGTGTAGCTTATTCTATCTAAAAGAACCCAAGGCTGAACCCCAGTTCACAGAACTGCAACAAGCTTTCATTATTGCAGCCATTTTTAATATCTAGCTAGCTTCCCATCAAATTATCAAATGGGCTTTTTTTTCGGTAAGAGGGGGAGTTGTGGGAGAAGGGAGGGATGGAGATGTGGCCAGATAGGAGCTATCCAAAACTTTTTTACAGCAGTTACCCTGAGAAAGGGCCTTAGCATAAAGGAACTTGCCTAGGTCAAATACCAGCTTAACACAGCAGACCAAATATTGTTTTGCCAAGGAAACACACATATTTTTGATGAGTACCATAAGAACCAGACGATGGACAAATGCAATAAAACAAAATTTAACATGCAGACAGTAAAAGCTCCATGTCAGGCAACTGGCTGTACAAGACCTGGCAAGAGTAATAGGTCTGTTACTACTTACAACACTCAATAGGATTGGAGGCTACTTGCAGAGAAAGAGTTCTCCCATTGGCTTGCGGGATATGAACTCGGAAGACCAGCCGCACTCGTGTATTCTTCCTTCCGATGTCTGTTTCTCCTTTTCGTAGTTCAATGTCTGAATTTCTAAGTTTTAATATTCCAGCACAATCAATGCTGTTCAAAATAAAATACAGAGCAGTTCAACTAAATCTTTTCAGAGTTCAGATGTAAGTGCAAAGTTTCTATCCTCTTTCCCCTGTTTATTTTTTTAAACCTAAGCCTCCTCCCAGAGACCTCAAGGGAACTTTGGGACAAATATTAGCACTACACAGGAGTTTTCAAGCAGTGCCAATTAATAAGATTAGACTTGCATACATCCCTTGGCTTAAGTTTTACCATGAGTGGCTCCACTGGGGCTACTCACAAGAATAAGTGCTACATGCAGTAGGATTTGTAAAGTTCTCTGTAGGCATCTCTTTGAGAAGACAAAAATATACAGTAGGTATAGAAGCTTTGCACTACTGACCCAATGCACAAAGAAATACTAATTATTTCTTGGTTGATATATTTAAAGACTATTACAGTGGTGAGCAATGTAACATAAAAAGGAACAAACAGGAGTTCATCATCATTGTATTTAAACATTTCTAATCATTCCCATTACTAGCACTTTAGTTAAGAATCATTCCTAGTTTCCATTGCATGATTTTAAAAGTTGATTCTGAAAATACTTCCTATAGAGCTATGTGCTTCTTGAAGAATTAATGGAGGATCAGAATTTCAAAGCATTTTTTAAAAAACCTTTTTAAAAAGGGTTAACGGAGAAATTCTAAAAACAGAACTTTGAATTGAAACTTAGCACAGTTTAAATCAAGTGTAAGTTTTTGAAGATGAAGAAAATATTTTGTTTTAATCAGGCAAGTCATATATTGTGATTTCTGGCTTTTTTTTAATTTTAAAGATAAGTCTACTGGCTGGACTTTCTGCCAAAACAAAATTAAACATCGCAGAATATTAGTTCATAGTACTAATAAGAAAAACAGTAAAAATACATTAAAAATGCAGAACTACTTAAATTTTGGATCTTATTATTGTATTATTTCATGGCAATTCCTTTTTAAATATTAATGTCTAACATGCCTTTTATTATACTGAATATGCACAGTATAATTTTATACACGTGAAAAATAAAATAAGTCAGTAAGCATGTAAATACATTAAACTGTTTCATTTTCTCCTTCCAGACCTCTTGTATCACTTCTGAACCAAACAAATAGTATGCTTTGCAAATGAGGACTGCGGAAGATTCCCCAATATTGTGCTTTTACTACTTGTTAGATTAATAGGTTTCAGAGTAAGAAAGGCCATCACTGACAAGCTCAAAAGATGCTGTGTCACTAATGAACAAATTAGAAGCTCTTAACAATATATATTTACATAAGAAGTTCTAAGAGATATATGATATTCAAGGGAACATCAAAATCCAGTATCATAATTGATATAATACAAAGAAATACATAGTGCATTTCTACTGTAATGCATGTTATCTTTTTATCATTAAAAAGCAGACAAAGGACTTTACCCACAGTTACTTAAGCTTCCAATTTAAGATCCTAATACAGCAAAGTACTTAAACTCATGCTTAAGTTTAAGCATCTGAATACCCATTTGAAGTCAAGGGGACTATTCATATACTCAAAAGTTAAGCAACTGCTCAAGTGCTTTGGTAAAGGCAAATAGGATGATTCAAGAAAATGTTTTGCAGAATTGAGGCCTACTTGAACAAATGAAAGTGAAAAAAGCCTTGTGCTCATGCTTACATGCATTGTTACTGTTCTACAAAGGAAGTCTGGGACTCTGAGCTATAGCAATATAGAGCTGTATGGGTGCCAAGTGGTGGAGTTCTACTATAGCCTTGCTAACGTGCTGGAGAAATGTCTTAGTTCTGATGCCAGATATGTTCAGCCACCTTTATGATAATGATGACAGCGAGAGAAAAATTAAAAATGCTCCCAGCTGGCCAAAAATGGACTTGACCTGGGCAAACCAAGGGCCAAATTAATACTCTGCTGACATAAATTGGTGCAGCATCATTAAGCTCAATGGAGATGTGCCAATTTACAACAGTAGAGAATCTGAACAAGCATTTTGCAAGGCAATTGTGCTATAAAATAAAATGAAAGGCAAGAACCCTGAATCTTTAGTGTAATCATCCTGGTCTCGACTAACCCAGTCATAAACCTCACTCTGGCTGCTGTATGTATATGGTGCATTTCAGAATATTGTACAATTCAATGCAAAGTGATTTCTAACAACTGTGCTTCTAATAACTGCAACAGAAAGAGGTAAACATGGAGTTACAGATTTAGTCTGCATCTTCTTAGCTTCAAAACAGGGTTACTTCATACTTCTTAGTTAGGTTACTTAGTTACTTAGGTTAATTAGTTATTTTGTTAAGTATATGAATGTTGTGGGTGAAATTTGGGCTCTGCTGATGTCACCGAGTGTGCTAACTGGACTTCCATTTCAGTGTGGCCAAAATTACACTGTATACATGCATACAGACATTCACTTAGTCGGGTTCTCTGCACCACTTAAGACTAATGCAGTGGCTTGGATGATACGGCAGGCCTCAGATAAGCTATGTGCATTAGGATGAAAGTTATTTTCTACATATTGTGCGAGCATGAAGTTCACTTGTGTGCAGAGGACCAGTGCACAATTAAAATCTCATTTGAACTCTAATTTGGGAATTAAATGGTGGATAGGGCTTGATGCCTCCACACTGCAGAGGTCTGACCTTTACCCTTAGCAACTATCATCATTAGAATATCTTGCATTTGTGTCTCAATATCATCCTTGCCACTTTTATTTCTAATTGTTTGGTTTCTAATCTGACATGTTATTGTCTCCACTCCAACAGTGTAATTGCAAGACAATAACAGTTCTCTCTAATGAATAAGAGATGTTCTGCTTTTTACACTGACAGCTGGATTATTTGGAAAAAAAACTTTTTGCAAGATCTCTCTTCTTCTCCTAAACCAGAGATGAGTTTTAACAAGCTCTGTTCCTTGTAGTTCTGCATACAGAAGTAAATAGGTGTCATGTTTAGGAACTAAATGCAGGAGCTGAGGTAGGAGATATTTACAGCTTGGTAACTGAGCTACTTATTTTAAATGGCAAATAAGCACATTGGCTGAAACTCTAGAATGAAACTAATCAGTTGTCATAAATATTTGCAAAGTTTATTTAGGCATTAAACCAATTAGGGGCAGTTTGTTCTACCAAACCTTTAGAAACCTGCTAGGAAGCTGGATTATTTCTAGGATTGAGCAGAAAAAAGAGAAAAATGCAGCATAAAGTCAAAAAAAGAAAGAAAGAAAGAATGAAAAGAAAAATCCTAGTGAGCAGACTGGAAAGAAACTGCTAGACAGTCAGGTTCACTGTTTGGTTCTTACATTGCTCTCATGTTGTTTTCTTGCATGAGTGGAATTTCCAAGACTTTGGTGTTGGAAAGTATTGTTTCTTGGCTGGTGGTAGAAACGGTCTTCCCTGTGATTCGATGAACCTGGTAGAAGGCATGGGGTCGCAGCAGGCGGTCGTCTGCAGTCCCAATGAACAGCTGTAGCGTGAGCGGCTCACTTTCTAAGTAACCATGTAGCTGGCAAGAGAACAGAAAACTCCTACTAAGCACCATACACATAAACTGCTAGGAATCAATTAAATTTTTATAAGCAAGAGAGTCTAATTCAAGGAGAAAACTTGTGACAGGTGCTAAGTGTTAAGCCCCCCTTTTTCCTGTAATGTAATATTGGTACAATAAAAAGGTACACTTAGAAAATGTCTCATTATTCTAAATGACCTTAGGCACTTTAGTTTGAGCTAGCCTTTGAACAGTTTTGCTGCAGGCAAAATACTAACTTTGTATTAATTCTGTAACAGCATTCTGCGAAATACAATGGAGTCAATGTTCCCCCAGCAAACTGAAGGCAACAAAACCAATGGACTTGAAATTACAGCTCATCCCTGAATTCCCTGTATTGCCCTGGCAGCACTAGCAAGCTGCTGGTTAGGTCGCTTTTTCTTGATCAATTCTATGCTGCCAAATGCTGACCAGGATAGATTGGGAATATATTCTATATACGCACTCATTCATAAAGTTTGTAGAATTCTTGGAAAACTGCACACAAATCCCACTAAGGTCACTGGGCTGAAGTCAAGTTTTATCCATGGTATCATAACCCCAATCTTGTCCACAGACTCATTTCTGATATCTGTTGGTGAGACACAAGAATTGGCCCAGTAAATCTAGCCTCACTTACTCTAATGCGACTAGATTAGCAATGTTACTGCACTGATAGAATCACTCTGGATTTATATTGGTGTAAGAGACATCAACATTTGATCTACCAGCATGGATGTCTGACCCTAAATTAGACAGATAAAACTTTGTATTAATTCTGTAACAGCATTACATTAAGCTATTGGCTAATAGGCTCTCGCTAGTACTACTAGGCTATCAGCTCCAATAGTTTGATATCACTAACATCAGTTCTATTCATGATACCTGGGTAAATGTTTTTATTTAAATGCAATCTAAATGAGAATATTGTAGATTCTGACTTGCAAAGAGTGACTTTAATGGGATACAAACTTAGTTTGACAACTGCTGTGTTGGCTCACCTAGTGGATCCGTCACCTTCAGATTATGAGGGTCTGAGGTCAGAATTTTGGCTGCAGTAATATGCAGCATTCATGAGCCTTGAAAATCCAGGCAACTAATGGAGGTGTTAGGAGGGCACGTAGTAGGAGGAAGTCTCCTAATTGGTTAAGTCTGCTCTGGTGTCTGGCTACAATTGGCAGACAGGAAGAAGGGGGAATTGGTGATGACTCATATCACTAATGCTGTGCCAAACTAAGTCCAGTGTTGCATGCAAAATGTGAGCTAGTCAGTCACAAAGGGCTTCATTGGTTTTCTCCTCTTTGCGTTGTAGGCTATGTAGTCAAAGGTATGACTATAGCATGTGCAGACATACCTGAGATAGCTTTCACCTTTAGTACTGACAGCACTGACACTACTGAAACAGTCAGTGGATGTTAGTCCAGGCTAGCCTCGCCATTACTGTTTGTACCTAGGACTTTAAAGCCTATTGTCACTGCTTTTTGTCTACTGTCACTACCTGAACTCGTGACATTGAATCTGGCTTCATTATACCTGCCTGTGCTGCGGTTCCACCACTGAGTGCAGCTTAGACCCAACCTTTGTCTCAAAGCCAAGATGCATCCTAATTAGCCCATTACTGTCAGACACAGAAAAATTGTTAAAAAAAACCACTTTACTCTTTGGCTGCTGAACTCATCCCTATAACAGAGAGACTCTAACAGGTATGCAGGAGCCTATCAGGAGAGTTTTCCACTATTTCATAAGCTACACAACTGTGCACCAGGCACATTTGTTTAGTTTCCTCTAATAACAGCTGAGTTGCCCAGGTGCCAGAAGTTGTTATTTAATGAATGAGAATAATTTTAGTGAATATACCTGCAGATGCAACATGTGCCCAGATAACTTTGAAAACAGATCACCAGCTTTTTTGCCCCAGAAAACTGATTCTTGAGACATCACAAAATCGAGGAGAACACACATACAAACACCAGATTCCTAAATGATGACTGGGCAGGTGCCATTCCAGGAGTGATACTTTAATTCTTTTAGAGAGGAAGATTAAGATTTAGTGTGGTGTAATCACTGCTTTGCTACTACAGAATCAATCTAACAATAACACTTTTATATTGGGAGGTGTTATAAGGTATAGTAGCCTGGTTCTTTAATTTTTACTGATACACGTTGGGACATCTCCAGTTTCACCCTAGCTAGAAAGGATGCATATCAGAGTCTGTTAACTCCTCTTGTAGGAACACAAGATATTCCATGCAGACCTCCAGTGGACATACATATTTATATAATGATGATATTATAATAACAATTATATTATTAGTTCAAGGGGTTGGGTATTTGACCAGTCAAATAAAGTTCAGTCAATTGACCAGTTACAAATTGGTAAAAAATTGCCAATAGATCCAATTAATACACCAAAAAGCACAATTTTTCCATTAAGTAATTTGTCCAAAAAACAATAAAAATCATATTTCTGTCATGAAAACTACAAAAAATGTAGTTTTTTGTAAAATTGCTATACTCTTTGACCAGTCAAAAATATGCGGTCAATTGACCCGTCAATTGACAATATTTGACTGGCCAACTGACTGGGTTGTCAACTCTATTAGTTCATGCTTCAGGTCCTAAGATGGTTACAACATTAGTCAGGAAGAAAATGTGCACGCATAAGTTGGATCCAGACGTGCAGGCATGTGCATTTTTTCGGCACCGCAAATGTCTTTGCAGCACCATAAACCACACACCTGGCATGTTTAAATGTGCCCTGAGCTGCAAATATGCAGCCTGGGACAAAATTTGCTACTGGGAAATCCCAGTAGCAAAAAAACACCGCAAAAAAAGCAGCGCAGCTTATGCCACAGGAGCATGCACTGGCAGACATGGAGGCTTTGTCCTCCAGGGAGACAGTCTGCTTGCTGGCCAGAGCATCTCCCCTCCTCTAGTTGTCCCCTGACTCCCCCAGTATCGCAGGAGCTGGGAGAAGCAGGGAAATGGCAGTTTGCCCCACATCGACTGCATGTGCAGGGGTGTGCACAGCAGCAAAAATTTGCGCTGCTACTATTTTTGCTGCTGCAAGTGCATGCTCCTGCATGTGAGGATGTGCCCGTAGGGAGTATTGCGTGAGTTGCCTGGTATACCGTGGTTTTGTTCACCTTCCTTTGAATCCTCAGATACTGTTCACTGCAGATAACAGGAAATTGGCTAAATGGATGAACACAATTTTTGTTTGCCTAATTAATGCATGCACTTTGAGGGAGAAGACTGAAAGAGATTCAGCTACATTCCTATAGAAGTCCCCTGTCCTGTCCCCCCCCAACAAAATCTGCAATGTTGGGATATTGTATACACGGATTTCATCTGGAATTTAAGTATGTTCAATTTTAATGTTAGAGACATTGTTGGTGGTTTTGCCTCCTCTACTCTTTAGCTGTGGTCCATTGAAGAAATTCTCCTTTGGGCCTATGTTGTGTAAGAGAGGTCAGAATAGACTCTCCTGTGGATTCTTTGAACAAATGGTTACCTGTGAACATATGGGAGTAGATCAGGGACAGGCAATTATTTTGGGCAGAGGGCCATTTACTGAGTTTTGGCAAGCCATAGAGGGCCTTATGACAGGCAGCCCAGGGCAGATAAATATTAATTTTCTAAATTTTTAGAGGCTCCGCAGGCTGGATAGAATGGCCTGGTGGGCCACATCCGGCCCCCGGGCCGCATTTTGCCTACCCCTGGAGTAGATTCAATTGTCCAGGTAGCTCCTTAAAGTCCTATGTTTCCTTATGTCCTGACTTCCTTACATTAATGTTGCCCATTATAAAATGGTACTACTTGTAAAGTTTTCATTCTGCTCTCAGGTTTTCATGAACTTGCTAGACTGGTTCATTTTATAATTTTACATGGAGTGATAGACAGCCCATGACCATTTGGTTTCATGCAAGCAGATGTGGCTCATTATAGCGGAAGTTGAGAGTACTACAATAATTTTCATTAATTTTTGGAAGCCCCTCTTCCCCCAGGATATGACACCAAGCTGCTGTTAATACTCTTATAAGATAAAAGAAGACCTAAGTCTGCGTGTTGACTTTAAACATGTACCATGGCCTGTATCCTTAAGTTCAATTAATGACTTCAAGTCTTCAACAGCCACAAGCTGCAGGGAAAAGACTTATTTCCTACTGAATCTGAAACTTTTGTAGAGACTTTTGAATTTGCTTTCTGAGTACATGTAAAAAGCTACATTTTCAAGATTTCAGTGAGAGGTTTTAACAAAAGATGATTTTTGCCAGTAGGTATTGGTACCACCATTTAAAGAAAATCGGCAGTAAAAATGCATTTTGTTATATTATAGCAATTCTAAGCCCCCTGTCTGCTTGACTGCATATTTTTCATGTTTCTATATTAGTTTTGATAACTTGCCCATCAAAATGTGAATGCCCTTAGAATATGTTATTATCACAAGTATCTCTTCAGGTTTATAAGGGACTTCTTTATGTTTTTCTGCATTTTCAGCTCCTGCTGTTGATCTTGCATGTAGCTACTAACATTTTCTTTATTACACACAGTCCATTTTAAACACCTAGTAAAAGTATCATACTTGGCTCTTACTAAACAGCAGTGACAAGGTCTTGTTACAGGTACATACATTTGCACTGTATATGAAAATGTGCTTCTTAATGTCTGAAAAGCAAAAGAAATTAGCTACAGTCTAAGCAGCTAAAAGGCAATTATAGCACAAGTTGTGACCATGTGGAAAAGGTATGTTCCTACTCAACGTAGATGTACCCCAGTACACCTTAGAGTCATAGCTGTTTACTACTGTTACCACTGCAGACTCAGTAATGCTGTTGCGGAGTAACTTGGATTCTATTTTGCCTCGTGCCTCATCAATATTTCCAGTCGTGGAACCTGAATGATGATGTAAGAGCTGGACCTGGTGATGGTGCCCCAGGCAGAAAAAACTCAGCTAGATTTTCAGCTCTTAGGGAAAT